TGTATTAGCCTGGGAAGGTCGGTTCTAGCTTTCAGCAAGGGATGTGGTACCGTTATTTGAGTGGTATTCTCTATTGTTACGGGCAAACGTAACACTAAGAAAGCAACTTTGAAGTGAAGTAAACAAAATCACAGTAAATTATACTTTTATATTCGTTTACAAGGTTCAAAATTATGCTTTAGTTTGCTAACTCTTAATTAGATTTCTGGGGTGGTGAGAAAGTTACAACAGTTTAATAATTACACATCATGAAAAGCTTAATTTAGGCTTTCGAGAACGGAAGTATTCTTGAAGAGTCATCATACATTCAGCCACAACAAAGTTGGTGTACTTAGGAAAAATGAAATTAATCCTCAATGGGAGCTTGTTCAAGTAACTTGACACAATAATACTACACTATTACATCATACTTTTTTGAGTTAAAATCAATAATATGTTAGGTTTTCCAGAGTGTCCCTTGGAATGAGCATGACGACAAATTACCGGTTTCCGGATAGATTGAAATAAGGGCACCTACAGTTAAGCATAGTGTTAATATTTATCGATTATGTCCTGCCTTCCCTGACTTGTGATTATGCAACTCGAAACTTGGACTTTTACTATTGGATAAAATACCGTGCGATTCCTTACCTAAAAATGAAAATTTGGTTTCCAACGTAATTAGGCTAATTTAACTGATTTCGGTAGATTACTGTAAATTGGTGAGCAAATTAGTGTTAAGTTATTGTTAGTGAGCTCAATCTTTTTTCATTTAAACTATCTATTCGCGCGATATAACAAAACTTTGCTTGGTGACTCAACATTACTGAGAAATACAGACGGCTTTTGTTAAATTGCTTGTTTTTTTTAGTTCAAACAAAAAAGGCACAATCACTTGTTCTATGAGAACTGGTCAATGAGAGAAAAAAATACCTCAGCATGAAAAAGAATTTTTAATGCTATTTTGTTACAATTAGACCGGCGTTGACCTGATTTTCACCAAAAAATAATAAGTTTTTAAATTAAATGCAAGTAAATATTAGCTGTTAAATTTAATTTCATAAATGCCGTAAAGGTGATTTCACTTGTGTTGCAAGTGGACCTTGGTTTTACCTGTCGTTGATCTTGTTTAAACACTGATTTACAAGCAAACATTTCTGATAAAAGCATAAGACCTGTTTATTTAATTGAAATGATCATCTAAAAACAAAATACTTGCAAATGTGGCCATAATACTGATACTTATAGTTCTCTATTTTTATGAACAAACTTACTAATAATTTTGTTGTGGATTGTTTAATTTAAATTGTATTTCATTTGGTAAAGAGGCAAAAAAATTAAATACCTGGGACATCAAGTAGTTGTGACTGTTAAAACTACACCGTGATTTAATGCAAGATGTCAACCAAATTTTTCAGATAAATTTGTGAGCAAAAAGTGAACATCTTCAATTTTGCTAAAATAAAAATATTAAATGTTAAAAATAAATAAATAGCCTATACAAAAGTCTTTAGGATGCAACTTAAAAGGAACAAAGCGCCTCATGAAATGGTTTTTAATTTACTCAAAATGCTTACTCGAACATCTTCAAAATTAGTAAATAAACATCCCGCGGTTTTTTTTGAAACTGAAGCAGCATCCTTGAGATCCGTCATACTGAGCTGAAATCCGTGCAAAGGCCTAAAAAATATTTACTAAATACATTAACACACAGTTGCAAGGTTTTTACAAATCTTGATTGAAAAAAAACAAACAGTTTAAAACAATTTTTAAACTCGCAAGATAAAAATGTGTTTTCAGATGGTGCAACTGAAATGCAGGGAATCAAATGAAAAATAAATATACCGCTTGAGTAGGTCGAAATCCATGGAATCTGATTGAAGTTGATTTCTTGACGAATTCGCAACAGTTGAGCTGATTTGCGAGAAGCTATCAAATTTTGGGAAATTTCTAAGTAGGGAATAGGATGATTCGCTTTGCAATTTGGCCATTTTAAGTGACAAGGCCGCCAAATTGACAATATATTGCATATATCCAATATGAAAGCCTTCCAGGATTTGTGAGTCACACTTTTCAGCTATTTGGTTGACACACGCTAATACTCTGAATGGTCTGCAAGCCCAAGATGAAAGTTCCTGAATTTTGATTGGTCGGCGGCATTAAATTTCTGATTGGTCATAATATTACGGGCCGAATCGGATGTTTTCTGATCCATTGGTAGAATAAAACTCGTTACGATTTTTGCAATTTAAAAATACCAAGAAAATGTTCCACAGATTCCAGCCAGTTAAGCTCGAAGTTTTGAATGTTTTAAATATAATTTTAGTTAAATTCATCATTAGTCCCTTAGTAAACCATTACATCAGCGATAAGGAAAAGGCCAAAATTATACGCTTTAATGTAGATTCGACTTTTGAGTTCTAATATACACAGCCTGAAATACTTAACAGCAAAACGTTTGGTCTTAAAGTAGAAAACTTGCTATAGTCTGGTGTAATAAACTGCGAAAACGTTTGCGACTATTATAAGTTTGATGGCGTTGAAAGTGATTTTGGGCTAACGCTATTTGTGTTTCTTTAACCCTTAATAGCCTTTAGTAGGTGTGGAACACAAGATTTGCATCTTTTTTGTTATTAACCCTAAATAAAATTCCCACCCTAGTTTAAACAATCACTTGTAGCACGAGCGAAGGTAAAAAACTCTTTTCTAACTTTATTTGGTTTAACTGGGTCGTGATTTTGCCAATTCAGAAGAATTGTTTGTGCGTACATAAATTTCTAAACGTTCACAAAGGCTCAGCCAAGCAAACTTAAACATCGAGAAGAGGCAGCGACAGTTAAATGTCAGAGAAAAATAAATAAAAAACAACTTTTATTTTGTCACAAAAAACTGAGTGACTAGGTCCTAACAAAGAAAGTAAATGGTCCTACAATTAGGCCGTTGACTTGTTGACAGTGAATAACTGCAAACAACGATTGCCATTCCTGCAATATTTCTTATTCTGACTTCACGGTGCCCGGTATTGTTGTTAAAGGTTTTGAATGATGCGAACTCCTGGCGACTAAATGGTCAGAATACTTCCAAAATTATTTTAGGTGAAAGCATTTAAAATTATTATTACTTTCGACGGACACTATCAGTTCCACTTACCACAGACCATTATTATTTGCCGTTGCATGGTTTTGTACATACTTCGAGTTTCAAAGTGAATACTAGAATGAAAGTTATGTCGTCTAACTGAATATCTTTGTCTTCGATGTCGTAACTCACTAGTCGTTTAGATTGAAGATTTTTGTGGTACACTAGATAAAGTGAAACGGGAATTCATTACTGAAATACGGCTACTTAATTTTGTAAAGTAAGCGTTTCGTGGATCGCCGGGCGAGATAGAAAAACTCAACGTTACTGGAATTGATGCCTCGCTAAAATCATACTCTTATTGCAGTAAAACACTCAAGCGTATTATTAGACTACAAATGACAAATAAAAAGTAATAGCTTAAGTCTACTTCGTGTGGCATATGATCCTAAAACAGGTAAGGATATATAATCACATGTTTCATATCAAGAAAATCCTATAGCGCCGAAGATATATTAGGGTCTAAATTTGGTTGATTAAATTTGGAAATCCTCTTAGCCGATTTCCTCAAAAGCAAGTAATACTTGTGTGCTGTTACAAATTTAAACAGAAACAATCACTGTGACAAAGCGGCAAAGAAGTCAGTTTACAATCAAGTCTACTAACACACACATTTAAGCATATCAGATTTGCAGAATGCCTTAGTCCTAGTAACCAGAAAATCAGGATAATGATAATGGCTTTGAATGGCTGCGTAATGTAAAACGCGATGAAAAATCACTGTGACGTTGCCTGCTATGTGCTTGTGCTATGAATATTTTTTTTATCATTAGGATCGATAACAATAATTTGTAATAACATCATTAACTTAAGTTTGAACTTAAATGAATAACAGCTAAACATGGCTTGAAAACCAAACACTATATTTTTAAAAAAAACTGCTATTTGTGGCGCCTTGTCAACCGTGAAGCTGTTGACGCAGTTTAATAGAACAGATGAACTTGTAACTTTAAACAATCAGTAATAATATGCTTTGACACCAAAAAACATCGCTTTCGCGTCAATGTTTGTTGTCATTTTAGTGCAATAGGCTTAATCAATAAATGAATTAGCTTCTTGTACAAAGAAAAGATTGCCAATGTGTGAGACAGCGCGATATTTTCGGAAATGAAATAAAAAGAAGCAATAGAGAGACAACACTGATGTCCTGGAAAGACATTGTGCAGCTTCCCGACGCCACTAGTGAATATCGTAATCATGGTGACATTCAGGCACCATACGCTAATTCTAGTTTCATTTCATATAAAATTTTATGAGTTTAGTGCTAACAGTTTTATAGACGTCAAGGACAATTATGCAAAAAGCGGAATTTAGGGTTTGCTATAATTTCATTGTAATAATGATTTTTTAATCGTTTTTTAAGTCTCGAATCATTTCAGACACGAAAGTTATTAAGGATAATCCAATAAAATATTTTGCCAAAGATCAGACGAAAATAAATCAAAAGCTCGCGATTAATTGATGACAAGGACGTTGAAATGAAGAAGTCCCCTTTGGGTTCCTTGACAGGCTTTCGGTTTAAGCCTGCACTATTCATTTTCCATATGACAGTTTAACTTTCCATTCTATAATAGATAGCTACAATAAATTAATGATTTGTTTTTCGTTATTTCATATACCTTTCTGTTCCTTCTTTAACGCTTTTTAACTTTCAAATTTAGATCATGTTGATAAACCCAAATTTTGTATTTCGGCTCAGTTTGATTAGTAATTTATATGTGCTGGAGGATCAGGCTTTTTCCCGATTGTGCAGGACAAATTAGTTAGAAAAGGCCATTTTTCATTCCGTTTATTTTCTTTCAATTCGAGCAATTGCTAATAATAAAGGCAGTCAGTAGTGTGTGCATAAGTTGAAATTGTGATAACATGCAAACATAATGACAAATGCCAAACTTCAATTTATTGCTGCTTTTGTGGTTTCTAAATAAGGTAAACAATCATTTCCAGAAGCAAAAGCGTGCCTAGTCCCCGTTTTTTGGTCCATGAAAGTTAGGTAACTTTGTCTTAAATTTGAGGTGTAAATTAGGTAAATGAAGCATACCTCCAAATGATCATATCCATTTATCAATAAACAAATTTAGATCGATGACCCATAAGCCGTGTTAATTTTGATAATAATTGGCTGCGTTATAGTGACCTCGCAGCTATATGTATATTCTGATCGGCGGTGTCTTAAGACGTAACCGATGTGTGGTTGGTGTTACAAACCTAGACACTGGTTGTCTTACTTAAACCATAAACGCCAAAAGCATTAGTAGGCTTGTTAAGTGAAGTATAGGGTATTTAAATAATGTTTAAAACCAAAATTACTAGCGTTCAGACAGTAGGGCAAGACACAGTTAACGCTTACGTTGGTCTTAAACCTGTGAATGTCGGGAGTTGAGCAACTTTAACCAAAGTCAGTGCCTATATTATGATTTTCATTTTGCGACAGAAATGTTTTAAAGAGTGAGACAAGCGGAAAATTGCTAAAATGTGGAATTTTTTTGGCCGATTTCCGACAAGGTTACATGTTGCATAGAGTGTTCTTGCAAATTACAAATAATAATAATAATAATAATAATACGAAGCTATAAACTTTGCACAGCGCAAAAGGTGACGTAATGTGTGAATAAACAGGACGCAGCTGCTAACTAAAGGCGAAAAAATTTAAGAGGTGTTCATTGTGATCGGTCAAAAATTTGCTCCCATGTTGCCAAATAATGTTACAACCACATAACTAAACTCTGAGGAATCGTCATTTTTACGGATGAGTGAATGAGTGGCAAAAAGCGCATTTTGAAGCTTGTTAAAAGCACTTAAATAATTTTTGCCCTACTTTCTAGAAAACATATTATTTCTAAAGTTTGACTAGTGAATACACTGGTTAGTAATATTTAGAAATGAAGTATAAATTTGTAACGTTTGTAACAAGACACATTTGTAGATTAAAATTGGGCTTTATAATACCACTTGGTCTGTACTTCAACTTCTACACATGCTACAGTGCCTCAGCAACCGTGACAGTTACCAATAAAGTTCCGTGCACTTTGTTTCCTCATTCAAATTGTAACTTACGACCTATGGAAGAAAGAAACCATTCGAACGCCCACACCGTAACTAATCATGGCTATTTTGATGGTTATGTGATGGGTGGCAATAAATGTTGCCTATAGGCATCTTTATGTTATTTATTGTCACGCAAATTTTGATTGGCTCTAAATTACTAATCACATCTGGAAATCTTACTTAATTTGTCACGACATTTAATAAGATGTAAATCTATTTTGCTTTAAGAGTAAAAAATGTTGTTTTTGCAACCAGAAACAAAAATGAGATGTGTCGACTAAAATATACATTTTGGTACATTGAAGAGTTCATTGCCCTTTTAAAAATCACAATATAATTTACGAGTAACTATGCTGTTGGAATAATAACATATGTTTTAAGACATTAAAAACATATATCTACACTTTTTAATGAATTCCTGTTTGCATTTAAGAATATTATTATCTCTGGACATAGATATATAGTGCGTTTTGTTGAATTTACTTTTAAAAGGG